AGAGAGAGAGAGAGAGAGAGAGAGAGAGAGAGAGAGAAAATACTATTAGAGTTACTATCACAACATTAGAGCTGCATATTTCCCCAAATTACAACAAATGAAACCACATTTTCTGGCATTACCAAATACAGAAAAATTAAGTGACATTTTAGGGGAAGATTCCAAAATGATCACAACAGCAGCAAGATATGTATCAGTTTATCATAGACTAAGACTGTCAGCCAGTGGACAAAACTGAAGCAAGAGCATTTCTTACATGTACGGTTGTGCAAAGTTTTTTTTTTTTTTTTTAACGTCTCTAATATTTTTCTTGCTTGTGGAAAAAGAAGAAAAAAAAGAAAGTACACATGTACTTATTAATTGTTTATGTATTATATAATTGTTTATTCCTTATTCATGTAATGGACAATGCTTTGGCAATACTGTGCAAGTCATGCAAATAAAGCTCATTTGAATTTGAGAGAGAGAAAGGGAGAGAGGGAGAGAGAGAGAGAGAGGCTCATGGATGGCTGTGTACAAGGAATCTGTCTGCTAAAGCAACACGCAAAGCTTGGCAGACTTGCAATGAGCAGCCACCTGGTGAACCACATGTACTGTCCACCTCCACACAGATCCAGAACTTTATCACTTTATTACACTTCATTCTCCTACATGAACAGCACAGGGACAGATCATAGAAAACAGGATATTTTTTCCTTTTCCTTTTGAAATACACAGTACACCACAAAGATGGTTCCTCTGAACATTTAATGAAAGCCCTGAGAAATAACTTGTTTACATTTTTTTTTCATATTTATGATATCACTACCATGAACAAACAAATATGAATGTTTTTGTACGGAAAATTATTACAAATGTGGAACTCTTACTTTGATTGTTTTCACAATCTTATTTTCTTCCTCATCATCCGTCTCTGGAAACTCGTAGATTTTGATCTTGTGCTCCAGGATTTCTCGCATAATCTAGAGAAACATAAAAACGACTTTAAAACTCAGAGAAACCCTCTGCGATTCCTTCGGGCCCAGCACACAACCTTCAGAGATTCACCAAGAGCGATTATTTAGGACTGAGGAACATCCTCTGTTTATTTATTTGTGGATGTGCTCAAATCTTTTCATCTGATCTTTCCTGTCTGAGCGGTAATGCTGCGCTCCTGCTCATGGTTCCTGCAGAGATAATACTCTGACAGATGGCAAAGCACTCAGGACACACATGGTGCCGGAGGCTTGAACTCCTGCTGTCTCTTCTTGCCTTTTTCTTAATCAGGAGTTTAAATGGACAGCACTTAGCACACGAGAGCTGGAGGCTGCAGCAGGCTGACCTGTTTCTTGAACTGTTGGCACTCTTCGGGTGTCAGGGTATCTGCTTTGGCAATCAGTGGGATGATGTTGACCTTCTCATGCAACCGTTTCATAAACTCAATGTCCAAAGGTTTCAGTCTGGTGGAAAAACATACAACACAACACCATGATAACCATCACACAGTTCTCTCAGTCCCTTTCGCTTTTTAATAGTCTTTGCAAATGCATGAATCACCAAAACTATAACTCATTCTTAATATCAGGGCAGGGTCTGAACCTTTGCACAGTTAAAGATCACTCACATTGGCTTTAGAAACGGAATAATGTCGTTTTTTAATAGTGCAACTAAATTCAAAACTACAATGATAGATTATTTGATGATCCACATTTTAAGAGAACAATTATATAAAAAAAAAAAAATCAATAGTTACAAAAACACAACACCAACAACCAATAAATCGAATACATTGTTTATTTTAATTCAGAGGAGTTTATTATTATTGTAATTATTTATTGAACATTGGTGACTTTTTGAATATCAATATTTGAAATAATGCTGTTTTGAATATTGTTGTTTTATAAAAGAAAAAAAGTCACTAGTGGTCATGTGTTATACTTTTACAGCTAAATTGGTTTCCGTTTTGAATCATAGGCAACAACACCCATATTATTTACTTTGTACCATGCTTCAGTTCTGATAATCATCAGGACTGTGTGGACACAAGACTGAATAGAGCGACACATTCCTGCATCTTCACTGCGACTGAGCACAGATCCACTATTGTCTGAGAACAGCTGCTTACAGTAACACAGTCATTCTAATGTTTTCACTGACTAAGAGGAAAATTTTGACTTCAGCTCTGGCTTGTCAATGAAATTCATTATCAGACATCTTAGCAGGAAAAAACTGACAAACGTAAAGTGAAAATGAACTGAAGCATGATATACAAAAAAAGAAAAAAAAAGGTCTAGGTTTGAATACAACCAACCTATTTTATGCACAAAATTATAGTTAGAAGATTTTTAAAATATTTTTGAAAGAAGTCTCTTACACTCAACAAGATGTAAAATGTAAAAACAGTAATATTGTGAAATATTATTATAATTTAAAATAACTGCTTTCTATTTGTATATACTTTAAAATGTAATGCAAAGTTGAATTTTCAGCATCGTTACTCACAACACAATGTCACATGATCCTTCAGAAATCATTCTAATATGCTGATTTGCTGAAACATTTCTCATTATTATATAATGTTGAAAACAGCTGTGCTGCTTCATATTTATGTGGATACTGTGATGTTTTTCAGGATTCTTTTGTGAATAGAATGTCAAAAGTACAGCTTTTATTTGAAATACAATGTTTTTTGTAACAATGTAAATGTCTTTACTGACACTTTTGATCAATTTAATGTATAGTGTACCTTTCCTACTGCAAATTGGAGGGTTTAATTCACAACACAAAAACTGAAACTTGCGTCACTAATGCACAGAAGCTATTTTAATTAGTGGCCAACATATGATTGGTAAGTGTTCTCCTTCTATTAAGACATTATAAAGAATAATAATCAGCTGGAAAGCAGAAGGACAGGTCTCCGATCACTCACCCATGTCCTGAGGGTGCAATGAAATACAGGCAGCAGTGCACTCTGCTGTCCGGCATCAGTCGTCTGTTCACACGTGACTCGGAGTTCAGATAATCCTCAAACTTACTATCGATGTGATCAATGACCGGCTGCCAGCTGGAGCAGAAAACACACGTGAGATTCAGGTCATGCTTTCGGTTTAAAGCAACACCACAGTAATGAAAACACAATCACACAGCCATCTAACTATATAAAGCAACCTGATATTGAACCATACTGTCATAATTATATCTGGCACTCCACCAAACACACTAAAATCGTTCTCACCAGTTGCTGTTGTCCACAGCGTCTCCAAATCCTGGAGTGTCCACTATCGTGAGCAGAAGCTGGACGCCTCCCTCCTTCATCAACACTTTGGACTGCTCCACCTGTGGATAACAGACTGTCTGAATTACTACTAGGGATGTAACGATTCACTCAACTCACGATTCGATTTGATTCACAATTTAGATTTCACGATTCGATTCACAATTTTTTTTAACAAAATGAGATTTAAGACAAATTATAAATTAAATGTTTCCTTTTATTATTGCTTGGACAAAATACTGTATATTTCTTTGTGAAATTGAAATATAACACTATAATAATATACTAATATAACACTTGTAAATTATTGCTCTTTTGTTGGTTTTGATTGCTTCTATTGTCCTCGTTTGTTAGTCGCTTTGGATAAAAGAGTTTGCTAAATAACCAAATTTAAATATAATGTAAATGAAATGAAATTTTAAAACAAGCCCCAAATCAAATAAATAAGTAACACAAATAAAAGAAATCCCTTCATATAAACAAACTGAGGCTTTGTCTGTGCTCTTTCCATTTAAAATGAGAGGCAACCACTACATTTTAATCATGATCCAAAACAAAGATGCTGCATACATGTAACATGAGCAGTTTTTAATCTAAATTACATTGTATAATTTCGAAATTTGAAGCAAAAACAGAATGGTTTGACTTCAGTTTTGTGAAACTATGCATAAAAAATATCTGCATGAAACCGAAACAGCAACCGCAGACGAGCTGAATGAGACGCAGATGCACTCTCTGCCAGCAGGTGGCGCTTAAGTGTTTCCTTGGTTTCCGCTGTAAACAAAGCAGGCTGCACTTATGAACTTTAATATGCATTATACAGAGGCAAGAGGAAAAGAAAAAAATACCATCTAAACTTTTCAAAAGACAGTAAGTTCCCCTCAGACATGCATTCATATAAACTCCTACCCCTAATTGAATCGCGATTTGTTTAGCATCTCAACCGATTTGAATCGTCACATATTTAAATCGATTTTCAACCGGCTCGAGGTTAATCGTTACATCCCTAATTACTACTTCTACATAGAGGCCCTTAACATATGCCCTAGTAAATACTAAAAAAGACCTCACAAATGGCTGGTGTAAACACTAGTAGCTAATGTCTGCTTGGTCACTTATGTTTACATACCACAGGGTATTAGTGGTGTTGATGCAAAGACAACTATCAAAAATCTGAAATGTTGTGCAAAGCTCCGGACTCACAGACACTCTCTAAAGGCTACAAGTACAAGCATGCAGGACATAGCATAGCTATTACTGAAGTATTACTTAAGTATGCTTGAGAAGCCAGAAGTATAGTAGCATAGGAACCTAGAAATGTGTGCACGGAGTTATGATCTAAAAACCTTTATAAAACTATATTCAAGTAAAAAAAAAAAGATGTTTGCCACTTTCTGTTCCCAGTGCACAACTGAGAAGGAACAAGCAGCATCTATTGACATTTAGGAAACATAGCTTCACTCTTTATACCTGAACTGTTTTCTTGATTCTATGCGAAGGTCCAGGATATTCTCCAGAGTACAGATTCGTCAGGAACAGAGAGTTTATCAGCGTGGACTTTCCCAACCCTGACTCTCCTGAAAAAAAGGACAGAAAATACAGAGAAACATAAGGTTAAAATGATACCTGAATTCAGAGCAAAATAAAAAATAGATTTACTGAAGGAAATACCACTGCTTGCAAGACTGCAAAAGTATAAGGTTTGAGTTTTAGTTAAATTATGGGTTAGGAAGATTTATTTTTTTATTATTTTATTTAGCAAGGATGCATTAAATTAATGCAATTTTAAAAGTCAAAGTAAAGACAATGTTACAAAATATTTATATTTTAAATAAATGCTGTTCTTTTAAACTTTCTCTTCACCGAATCCTGAAAAGAAATATCATACATTGATAATAATAAGAAAATTCTAATAAATGCAACCTTGATGATCATAAGAGACTTCTTTCAAAAACATTGCTTTTTTTTTTTTTTTTAAACAGTACTGTATAAAATCAGTAGACATGGCAATCAGGACTAGAAGACTAGAGAATATTTCATTACCGACATAATGAAGTACAGACAAATATGAAATACAGGACTCTCAAGATGCATTTTCAAAAGTTAAATAGTGCTTGACAGATATGGGTTTTGAACCAGCGGACGCAGATACAATATCTAGAAAGCAGGGTGATTTATTACTATTTATTGACAAAATTGTTTATTATTTGACAAAATATTTACTCACGATTTGTAAAAATTATTTTGGTAGATTTGAAAAGAACAAAAGAGGGCAAATGTAGCACTTATTCTCAAAATTGCAATTTAATGGCTGATTTATGCACTCCTCTAGCATTACATTTAAAATCGTAAAAATGTGACATTCATGGCATGAGACAGTGGCCAAAAACATCCATCTGATGCATGAGTAAATAGACAAACAATTAAAATAATAGTGCAGATGGAATGCAAGGACATGCCCTGTGTGAACCTCCTCTAAATGTATTACGTCAATGCTGGAGGGAACGGCATTTTTTGCATCCAATCTAAATGATTGTCTAAGAACCCAAAGAACCTCATGGGAGAACAGTGGAAATAACCTCAAGCAGCTTTTTGGCAGTTCTTTAGTAAATATGTTAATGGACAAGATGTGACTAAGTGAACTTCATTCTAAATACTTACTGCTAATTGTTTTGGAAATTCAAACATGACCGACTCAATACCTCTCCATCGGTGTGATGATGCTTCATTATTATGTATTTAGCATTAGTGTGAATACAGAGCAACTAACTAAGAGAGCGCAGCATTCATCTGTGCGGTCTCACGCAGAGAGGTCAGCACATTAACTAGAGTAAATTGCTTCTGGCAGGGCAAGTGGCTGGCACCATTACAGACTTGGCTGTTTTCCATACCCAAACACTAATGCAAGAACAACTGGGTAAAGTCCACCCGCACAGTCCAGCTAATTTATATTAAAACATCAGCAAGAGAAAGCACTATAAAACTTCATTAATGATTCATGATTCATTAATAATAAGTTAAATATTGTGATATTATGTGATGAAAAGTTTAAACCATCTACCAAGTCTAACCAAAGACAATATTTTGCAACTATAAAGACCACAAATAATGTCTTGAACATGCCTTTCACTTGAGACCGAAAATAACTCAAGCACGCACAACCACGAGTCCTCAGGTCAGATTCATAAATGCAGTGGATGTCGGGTACAAAACCGCAGCTCACATGCAAAGCCAAAGCAAACACCGCTACGTAAGCGTTCACAGCAAATTCTAGCAAAAACAGGACAGATCCCATATCACCGCAAACTTGATTAAGCGTAAAAGAATCAAATTCAGAACTATGCTTTGTAAAATGTCAGCCATTTAGGTGTTCTTCACTGAAGTCTTTGCATTTTTCAAGATGAACAGGATGTGAAATCACTGCTATTCAACCCCTGCTTCCTGTGTGTTATCCAAACAGTGTTTAGACCAAATGTCAAGAATGTAGTCTCAAACTGGAAAACATTCAAAACTAGACCGGAAGCTTCTCAAGTGGTCATAATGACTGCAGCACACACTGAATCCATCACAAGCAATGTGTCACTAAATTAGTTACACGTTGAGTGTAGTTTGGTATTTGCAAACTGCATACCGAAGGTTATAAAGCAGATCAAAATCAATACATTCAAAGAATGTGTTTCCTTACCCACAACCATCAGGGTGAACTCAAAGCCCCGCTTCACAGACTTTCTGTACACTTGGTTGGGGAGGCTTGCAAAGCCCACGTATCCCTCCAGATTCTTCTGCTGCTGAAAACAGACAGAAAAACACTTTTTTGATCAGAGAAATTTGCTGGTATATGCTCACAAATAACACACACAATGTAAATAGGTGATAATGTGCTATTCTCCCAGTATTAGTCATACTTACTGCTGTGTATTTGAATCCCAGAAATGCATGGTATTGGTTAAGGGTGATGGGGAGCAAAACGAAGATGTCAGAAGAGATGTTTGGCATGTCCAAAGTTCAGCATACAACAGCATTTTTGGACAAAGAGGGAGAGGGAAAAAAAGCACAACAATGTATGACATATACACAGGTTCCAAATGCTTGAAATTGCTTTGGAAAGTAAAAAAAAAAAAAAGGCAACAAGGTTTAAGCTGAACTGATAGAGTGAAAGTCAGAGGCTCAATGAAGCAAGTGACTCAAAAACATATACAAACATCTACTGAATAACATTTATCTAGGACTGCAGTCTTCAAACCAGGGTTCGCAAGGGAGTTTCAGGGGGTCAAGTGGAAAAAAAAGAATAAAAATAAATAAATAATACAATTAAAAAGGTAATTAAAATAAAATAAAAAATTTAGCTAAAACAAATTAAGTAGAAAAAAAACAAAACTATAACAGAACAAAGTTGAAACTAAAAATATTCCAAATAATATTTTGTGCATATTTATTATATCAATGTTCTTTATACATTAAACTATTTAGCTGGCTTTTAAATATTAGGATGGGCTCTGTTGCACCAGGATGATCATATTTGGCATGAAAAAAACAGAAAACCACTGATCTATGATGTTTAAAGTTTTTTTTTTTTACCCCCCAGTACTATGTGGCAACATGTGGAATAATACCTCACATTAAGTCACCAAAACAAAAATATGAGGAATAAATATAAATCACAACATTTATGCAAAGTATCACAGAGAGCCTGAAATGTGCTTGTATGATGCTGAGTGACACAATGAACTAAAAAAAAAAAAAAGGCAACAAGGTTTAAGCTGAACTGATAGAGTGAAAGTCAGAGGCTCAATGAAGCAAGTGACTCAAAAACATATACAAACATCTACTGAATAACATTTATCTAGGACTGCAGTCTTCAAACCAGGGTTCGCAAGGGAGTTTCAGGGGGTCAAGTGGAAAAAAAAGAATAAAAATAAATAAATAATACAATTAAAAAGGTAATTAAAATAAAATAAAAAATTTAGCTAAAACAAATTAAGTAGAAAAAAAACAAAACTATAACAGAACAAAGTTGAAACTAAAAATATTCCAAATAATATTTTGTGCATATTTATTATATCAATGTTCTTTATACATTAAACTATTTAGCTGGCTTTTAAATATTAGGATGGGCTCTGTTGCACCAGGATGATCATATTTGGCATGAAAAAAACAGAAAACCACTGATCTATGATGTTTAAAGTTTTTTTTTTTTACCCCCCAGTACTATGTGGCAACATGTGGAATAATACCTCACATTAAGTCACCAAAACAAAAATATGAGGAATAAATATAAATCACAACATTTATGCAAAGTATCACAGAGAGCCTGAAATGTGCTTGTATGATGCTGAGTGACACAATGAACTGCATTTACTTTTCTCACGATCCTACCACTTCCATCTAAAGACTTATGCTTAAATGCATGAAATTAGTTTTACACACAGCTATGCTTACATATTAATTCTGTTATATATGAATTTTAGAAAACGCATGGATACATTTGAAGAAGCTTTTAAATATTAGGATGGGCTCTGTTGCACCAGGATGATCATATTTGGCATGAAAAAAACAGAAAACCACTGATCTATGATGTTTAAAGTTTTTTTTTTTTACCCCCCAGTACTATGTGGCAACATGTGGAATAATACCTCACATTAAGTCACCAAAACAAAAATATGAGGAATAAATATAAATCACAACATTTATGCAAAGTATCACAGAGAGCCTGAAATGTGCTTGTATGATGCTGAGTGACACAATGAACTGCATTTACTTTTCTCACGATCCTAAAAACACTTCCATCTAAAGACTTATGCTTAAATGCATGAAATTAGTTTTACACACAGCTATGCTTACATATTAATTCTGTTATATATGAATTTTAGAAAACGCATGGATACATTTGAAGAAGCTTTTTTTTTTTATTTGTGTAGCTAATATTTTGGGTCAAGACAATTCCCACTGATGCCTAAAATGTGGAAAATAGAAACAATAAAGAATGAGTAGGTGTGTCCAAACTCTGACTAAAACTGCATGCAAGAATCATGAAATAACAGCAAAATGTGAACCGATTAGGGTTTCCGGTAAATGCCTGACAACTGAATTCTCTTTCATTTAATCACAATTACTGGAAAGTCAAACAAAAGCAATATTTTGAACATAAACCACACAAGTGTCAAGATGGTACGACCTTAACATGACTACATGAGAAGTAATGGTGCAGAATATGAGATGCTTGACAGCACAATCAGAGGTCACAAAACAAAGACATGTGGTTACACTCGGCTGCATCCTTTAATGTCACCAGCATCATTTATTGTGCATGATCACTTGGTTTCTTTAAGAGTCATGACCGCCCTTTACAGTATTATTTGAATTAGTTGAGTGATATACACAAACCTCACGTACTCAGAATATGTAACGAGAAGTCAAACAGAGCAGAAGTAACACTAATACAAAGTCAAATACTAAAGCCACACAGTTGAAAGTAAAATACACAAACTCGTTGTCAGACCAGGGGCCTGTACCATGAAGCCGGTTTAGCTGGCTAGCCAGGTAAGTTTCAGTTCAGTTTGACCCAACTCTGGGTTTTAGGTACCATGAAAGTAGCTCGGCTTTAATCTGTGTTCATCACCATAGTAACTTATGTTACTAAGTCACTCCCCCAGGTTCTCTTGCTCCAAATTAAAGGACACTACAAAGTACAATATTTTTAAAGATAAAATCATCTGGCTTTTAGAGATTATTTATTATAATTATTTTTTATGATTTATATAATTATTATTAATCCATTTACACAAGCCAGTTTAGTTTGATAATAATTAAGCTTTTATTTTAAATGAATAATATAAAGATATAAAGATATGCAATATAAATAAGATTTAGAAATAATAGCTTTAAAAAAAGCTTAGATTTTTAAGAGTTTTTATACATATAAATATTATCAACTATATAAACTAACTTTACAACTTTTGCTTGCACTGATATGGCAAAATGTTTTCTTTAAAGGGGTCAAAGGGGTAAAGTTGCAAAGACTAAAGTCTCAAATCCAAAGAGATATTCTTTATAAAAGTTAAGAGTCAGTCACGCCTACCTAAAATGGCTCGTTCTAACACGCCCCCACATGTCTACCTCACTATGTGGGAAGATTTGCATAGCGCCGCCCAAATGTTTACGCAAAGAAAGAAGGCATAACTTTTATTCTCGCTGTAGTATTGTTGGCCTTCCAAAAGAGGATGATATCTGCTTCGTAATGCCTGGAGCTGATCCGTGCTGGTTGCTAAGGAAATACTACAATTGTGCGCTGTGGATCGCCGGATCAGCTTTCACCGTGGACGAGTCCAGGCCCAGGGTCATCACACGTCACCCGCCTCTGCTCACTCTAACCCTCCGGCTGTTCCTCACGCTAGCCCCCGGCCTCTGCTCACTGTAGGCCACCGTGTGTGACACTGTGTTTCGTTGTGAAAGCGAAACTACTTTGTTTGGCCTTCCAAAAATGGACACGACTAGAAATCAGTGGTTAAGTTGCATTTACAACACTGTTCCAGAACACTTCAACCCAAATATTCAGATGTGTGCAGCACATGTTATGGAGGACCATTTACTGATCCTGGTAGAGTAGACTACAATGCCGGCTGTTCTGACTCACAGACTGTAAGTACGTTTTTTTAATATTTAAAGAGTTTTTATATTTTATATATTTAAAGCGAGTTTTGAGCAGCGTAGAGTAGGGCTTGTTGTTTGTCATTTCTCCGATCACAAATGCAGACATGGTTTTATGTTTACGCGGCGCGATGCAACGCAACGCGTAAAAAGACAGTATAAGTCATTATAATCCATAATTATGTCCCCACTGGATGCAACAAATGCCTCGTTTATAATAGGTTTTAATGTTTTTGTCTCGTCGCTCCGGCCGGACAGGGCATCATCACAGTATGGTAGGGGCATAACATTTCCGTCACACGCTTGAGGTATTTGGCCAATCACAACGCATTGGATAGCTGGCCAATCACAGCACACCTCGCTTTTTCAGACCGATGAGCTTTGTAAAAATCGACGCGTTTCAGAAAGGCGGGGCATAGAGGAGAAACAATAATGTACAGTATGTGGAAAACAATGTGTTTTTTTTTTTACCTTAAACTGCATAAACATTTCATTACACCAAACAATGTTCTTTTTAGCAGCATCATATGACCCCTTTAAGTTGTCCTCTTTCATGGATAGACCGTTTCATCTTGCTATGTAAATTTGTTTAAATTCTTCATATTTTCAATCTTTTAATCTGTGGGAGTGAATCGCACTGACTCTCTGGCGAGAAGTGAATCAGAGTTTCAAGGCTGTTCGTTACTGATGCCACACTTTCATGTGCACATGCTTCATAAACTCAGGATCAAAGCCTGAGTTGACAGAGAAAGTTGATGATCAGCGTCATGGTACCAACAAATCAGGATTGGGCTGGTTTGGTTTTGTCAACTCAAAGCTAATCCTGTAACCCTGAGTTTGTTCAGCCACGTGATACAACCCCCAGGTGATGCATTCAGTTGTTTAAAACAGATCTGTCTACAGGATGTGAGAGCCTAACCACAGTTTTAGTGCACGTCTGAATGACACACAGCACCTGGTTTAATGTGAAGGAATTAAGTGAAGGAAATAACATTTTAAAGCACTTCTATCTGCATTTATTCATGAAACCACTAACAAATAGCTGGGGGGGGGGGGGGAAACAACATTTGTACTTCTGCAGAGCATCAGCTGTCTCTCAATTCACACGACATTAGCAGGTGTGGATGACATTTGGAGTGATAAAAACGACCCATTCAATGTGAACTGCTTTTCAATTAGATTATTATGGCAATTCTAAAAACAATATGCAAAACAGCAGTTTTCAAACCTGTTAGCATGTCTTTTTCTGTCAAGTATCCACCTAAACAACATCTCACAGAGATTGCAGGACGTATTTAAATTAAACTCCATATTACTTTATTTAATATGTAACCAAAATAATTGCATTATTCCAGCTGTTGTGCGACTAGCTGCTAACCTACACTAGC